TCACACTAAACTGGCTCATTAACAAGCTCAGCTGGCTGGCCCCTGTAGCATCAAAGTTGCTCTAAATCTAGTGAAATTTAAGCTGGTTATAAGCTCTTTTTCAGCCAGTGAAATTAGCCTGCAACTGGCTATTAGCAAATTATGTACTTGTAACGTCTCTGGCTGTTATCCTATTATTCAGCCACTACTCAATATTTTATATAAACTCCTCTGTGGAAAGGGGCACCTGGATAGGAAATTGTCTTGCCAAAAAATATGACACAGTGACCTTAGCAGGGGCTTAGATCCAGACTACCCAATCATGAATCCAGTGTGCTTAACATTCAGCATTAAGCACATCTTTTTATCATTGATTGAAAATGTAAATAACATAATTGTTCAAAAAATACAACTTCTTGAATTTATTGTGATTATTTGTGTTGCCTTTCAGCTTTACCAAGACTAAAAGCAGATTGTGTTCCACCTAATTTTAGTCAAGCTTCAGTAGAAGACTTGTTTCATAGACTGGTGAGATATCAGTTCGTGTATTGGTACTGCATGTGATTTGCACACAAATTCTCCCTACATATTTCTCCACATATTTCATGTAAATGTTAGGAGCATAAATCATTTCATAAATTGTATTGTCACAAAGTGAAGACTACATGTACATGAGCTTGCACGACCTCTAGTTTTGTTTAGACTTCATGATTTTATGGCAAAGATGTTTGACCTTGAGAATCAGATCAGACTGTGTTCTGTGAAAAAATATTTATTTATTATATAGTTATTTATGGTAGTTTAATTGAACTAAACTGCTGGATGTTGTGTAACTCAAAGAGTAATGTTTAATATCAGGTATGTTATATGGTGTACTTTTATGTCAATTCAACATACCATTATAGTGTTTTTAAAATTAACATTCTGTTGCTGAGACATGACTGGGAATTTTAGGAAGAATTAAGACGAAATCCGATAGGAAATCAAGCAATTTCAGTTTTCAGTAGACAAAAACCTTGTACCAGAAGAATTTTAGGTATTTGAGAGTCCTTTTTACATTTTCTTAAAGCTAAAGGTATATAATTATAGTTGCCTGATTAATAACACTGAAAAAAATTTCCCATGGGAACTCAAGAAAACAAATTTCAAAGTTCAGAGAAACTGCTAAAAAACGGGTAAAATTTCATCATCAGTTTCATTTCATCAAAACTTTCAAGTGTTTTTTATAATGCAGTCACGCATAAGTTTATAAAATGATGTAAATAACCTCCAGTTGGTACAAAGTTTTTAACCACTTGTTACTCAAACTTCTGATGGATTCCTTCTTAAGTTCTTTCAACTTCAGGATATTTTCACATCTGTTGTAGTTGTCTTTAAGTATTAACCTCATTGGTTTTCTTAGGGTCCTGTACATGTGTTCAATGCAAACTTAGAATGGAGTGTCCCAAGGAGTATCACATTAAAGAAAAGTAACAAAGGCTATGGCTTCAGTGTTATTGGCTCTGCTCCGGTTATTATACAGAGTGTGGAAGAACAAGGACCTGCTAAGGTTTGTTCATCACTTTCTGTTCCTCAGAAGTAGCTAGGCAAAGAAAATGAAATGTAAAAAATCTTGAACATGGCTACCTTGTATTGTTTGTCCCGCCCATAATGTAATACAAAGGTTTCATCACAAGGAACACTTCAGTTTGAAAAACCCTGGGAATTGTGACTATTACCCCATCGTTTTTCTTACTAATCAACACTTTTTTCTGCCACTAAGGATATTGCTTTTCCTGCAATGATTGAAAATCTAGGGATTATTTGAAAATTTTATAATGGATGACATTAGTTTTCAGAAATCCTGCTGGTTTTTGTTGTTAGGTAGTGTTTGTTTGTTGACTCTCGCGAGTGTTGTCTTCTTTGCAGGATGCTGGAATTCATGTAGGAGATATAATCACTTCTGTGGATGAGATAGACTGCAAATGGGGTGATCATCCTTTTGTTGTGTCATTAATTCGCAATACTGACTCTTCTGTGACTCTTGGTATTGTTACACCAGGCTCTCTCAAAGCCATTACCGAGTTATACAATGTTAAACTGGCTAGGGAAGATCAAGTTGTAACCAGTGACTACAGTGACTCTAATGGAAGTCAGAGCTCAGGCTCATCTAGAAACAGTACTCTTAATGGAGTATACTCCCAAACAAGCAGCAGCTCATCTGGTTCAACAAGGTCTGGGGCTCCCGCTCGACGCAGTTCTGTGCTGGAAATGGGTAATGAGTCGATTCTGTGGTAGCATCAACTGAAATAGATTAGCTACCTGAGTCCTGTTTTGTCATAGTTGTGGCGATGATCAATCCAACGTCTGAGCTAATCGCCTTTCATCCTGCGTTACAGCGAAAACTATTCATCCATTCTTGCAAGAACGAAGAAACAGATTCTATAAAGGACCTCTAATTTCATTCTTCAGTATTCCATTCTTGAAATGAATAGTTTAATATTCAAATCATAATTTGATTCAAAAATTGTGAAATGTAAAGTAGTTTAAGGTTTGGTATATTCACACAAGCATGTCGCAATTCATCCCAAATCAAATTCAGATATTAATTGCCAAATGTCCCATGCACTCATGCAGTGTTGTTACACTGTATTAGTAAATAACTCTTGCATTATAGAGACTGCTAACATAATCTTAGGTAATTCCATTTATATATTCATATAAAATGCTATCACATCACTTAGTCATTGCTACATTTTCAGCACTGAGAAACTTAAACTGACCTAATGTATTGGTCTCTACACAATAACGAATTGCAAAAAAATTGTATTCACAATAACTAAATATGGAAGAAGAATTCTTGGGTTTTTACCATAACCCATTGGATGGGGAGGGGG